TTTATCAAAAGCCTGCTATATTTAAAAAGGGAGAGAGATGGAGTGCTGTTAGCAACTTTGCATTATTCAGTTACATAAAGCAAGCAAAGTATCTCAAAGCATTATCAAAAGCCTCCAATCCATATATATATATATGGAGTGTTAACAACTTGCAACTGGGTTTTACATTAAACCTGACAGTTGGAATGACTTGATCACTTGGTGTGCTACAACATGGATGCAGGATCACTTCATCACTCACAAGCTGCTACATTCAAGCAGAGGCGGCTCAACCCTTAAGCGAGTTAGGCGCCTAAGGCCCCATCCAATAAAAAGGCCCCAAAATATTATAGTTGCCTTCTATATATAATATATTATAATTGTTTCCTAATTGAACAATAATTCTAAAGATTTTATCTCCTAAAATAAAGCTTCTTTTTTTATTTTCTCTCTCCTTATCAATTTAGAGAGAAATTGTTTATCTCCTAAAATATCTCATTTTTTTTATTCATCTCCTAAAATATCTCAATTTTTTTTCACAATTTCTCTCTCCCCCTCATTCACGGTTGTTTAATAAATAATATACACTCAATATGGGCCCAAATATATATATTCTTAAATAATATATTTTTTCTTTGTCATACACTTTTTTTTTATACACTATTTTTTACACCAACACTATATATATATTTTTGGTAAGTTGCACAATAATAAATATTTAGCCGTCGTACTGGGGAGTGGAGAAACTTTCTATATTCTCTTTTTTTAGATTTTATTTTATTTTATTTATTTATTTATTCTTATTCCTAATCCTCACGTTCATTCTCTCCTCTCTCAGCAAACTCAACAAATTACAAGTCATCTCCCTTCTCAGTACTATCTTATTACAACTTTACAATTTTCTTTCTTCCCGACTTAATATTCAATAGTTTCAAATCTCAATTTGAACGCACTTTTTTTATTAAAGAATTTGCAACAGCATTGAATTGGGGCTTTCTAAATTAGGTTATATTATTCTTTTTCTTTAATTATTTTTTAGTTTTTCTAACTTTTGTTATTATAAATTTGTATATATCTATATTTTTTTATATATTTGTATATTTATTTGTTAGTTGTGAGTCTTGTGACTATTTTTATCCATATTTTTTAAAACAATGGATAATTTTGAATTAATTATTATTTAATAATTAATATATTACATATTATGATATGAAAAGGCCTTTTTTTTTCGCCTAAGGGCCCGAGTTACATCGAGCTGCAGTTTCAAGTGCAATTTACTTCATTTGGCAAGAAAGAAATGCAAGAGCATTCAGGAATAAATCTTCTCCACCTACTCACGCTATTCGCCTCATCAAAGGTTGCATCAGAGCAAGATTTGCCTCCCTTAAGCTAAAGCACAACAGACATTAGGGGGATTACTTCGCTGGAAGGAATGCATCAGTTATTCTTACAAGGTTGTTCATATGCTCATGGCCAGTCATGGTTCCTACTGCAATAGTTGTCTTATCAATCCGTACTGCTACTTGGAGTTCAACAATGAGAGTTCATCCTTGTGAATCAACAATGGGAGTCCACATGTTATAACTATGTTTGGAAATTGGGAGTACACATTGTTGTAGCCTGCTGTAGAATCCCCTTCTACCAAGGAGCATGTTCTTCTGGTTTGTTTAGTTGGTTGGAACACTTTGTACATATTCTTTTTATTTATAAAAGCTTACCCTTTTACCAAAAAAAATAAAAAAAACTTGGCCTTATTCATTTACATGAAACATGTAAAGTATCTGAGAGTTTTATCAAAAGCATCTTTTATATATATATTAGGGGTGACAATTTATGCCCAAACCCATTATTTCCGCTCAAGTCCGTCCACTAAAATTATATTATTTGAATACTCAAATTTAAGTAAGTGAGTTAATAATAAGTAAAAAATAAATACTCATACGATTTAAGGAAATGATCAATAGTACATTAAGAGTGAATACCATCCTAACCCACTCAAAAAAAACCCTCTTTTCTCTCTCCTCAATATTCTCCCTATTTCTTGTTTTCCCTTTTTTTTCTCCCTCTTCCCACTCCTCGGTTTTCTCTCTCCTCTCTGCTTCTCTTTTTTACTTTTTCTCTGTTTTTTTCTTGTGATAACTCTTTCTCCCTCACTCTTCAATTTCCTATATATATAAATTTAAGAAAAGTCACTCTTCAACTTCCTATATATATAAATTTATAAAAATAAAAAATAAAACACGAACACAGTAAATGTACAGTAATAAAATAATATTATTATATTATTATTATATATAAATATAATTCATAGCCATTTTAAATTAGGCCTGTTAAATATTAAATAATAATTTTCAACAGCAATCTTTATACAGTGTAAATAATCTTTATATTCACAAAGTGCATGTGTTATCCTCCTCACCAAACAACCAGAATAAGTTCCCTTTCTCCCTCGTCTCTTCCAGGCTCAATATTGGGATCACCTAATACTTTCTTTTTCTTCCTTTTTTCTCTCTCCTATTTTTTTTTTTTTTTGGTTCTCTGCTTCTCTCTTATTATATAAATCTCTTCTATTTTTATTCCCATATTACCGTATCGGTATCGTTCCTTCAATTTGTATTGTACTGTAGAGAAAAATATGAAAGTAAATCACCACCAACTAATTAAAATAGTCAAATCTCCTTTCTATATATAAGTGACTTTTTTGGAAAATAAAAAAAGGAAAAAAAAAAAATTGCAATACTGGAAACCAAAAAATTAATGGAAAACTGTTACAGGAACTTTTTTTTTATTATTATTTTTATATTTGGCAACCAAAATAATTAGACAATTTGTCTTAAAAAATATTCGGTCATCGAACTGTTACAAGAATTTTTTTTTTTTTTTGCAATTAAAATAATTTGACAATTTGTGTTTAAAAATATTCGGGTCATCGGTTTGGGTGTGACTCATTACTAACTCGCCCATTCATAACCACCCGAAACCTACCCAATTGACACCCCTAATATATATAGATATATGAGAGCTTTATCAAAAACTTGCTATATATATAGAGAGATATGGAGTATTAGCAACTTTGCATTATTCAATTACATGAAGTAAGCAAAGTATCTATATATATATATATATAAAGAGAGAGAGAGAGATTGAGTGTTAGGAACTTAGCATAATTCAGAGACTGAGAGCTTAATTTACCAAAAGTTAAAAATTAACGAAGTACTTCATCATAATAAATTATGTAACTCTTTTTTCTTAGTATAATCAACAATCATAATAAAAAAAAATGTTGTTACTTATCAAAATAATAATAATAATTAAATGATATTAAATTTTAAATTATTATAAGAAATAAAGGAAAAAGAAAAATTATAGCTAAAAAGATAATTTTTATTTATATAATAATTATTAATCAAGATGGATTTGGAACTTTGGGGTTTTAAACACTTTTCAGTAACCCGATTAGGATGATTCCAAACCCATTCTAATAGGGGTGGAACAGGATAGAATCTCAACGGGATAGATCAAATTGTTGAATTGGTTGTGTTTAACTGTAATCAATTGATACCAATACAGAGTCTCCCTCCCTCTCTAAACTGCTATGTAGAGATAGAAACTCAGAATTATTCAGTTAGTTGAAACAAATAAAGTATCGGAGAGCCGAGAAAGGTGGAGTACTCTTACCAACTTAGTATTATTCGGTTATATGAAACAAGCAAGTATCGAGAACTTTATTAAAAAATTGTTATCTATGAAAAGAGTGAGAGAGAGCTGGAACACTCTTACCAACTTAGCATTATTCGATTATACGAAGCAAGCAAGTATCGACAACTTCATCAAAAGTTAAAAATTAACAAGAGTACACATCATGCATGTCGCTAGCTTTTCTTTCTGTCGTGATAAAGGCACTCTAGCTCTGCAGCTGCTTTTTCTTTAATAAATTCTGTGGCTCCCTCCCACTCACCTGTCAGTGCAACTTTCCGGAGCGCCAAATATTCTTCATTGGGTCTTCTTCTTCTGTTTCTTCAAATATTCTTCATTGGGTCTTCTTTTGTTTCTTCATCTCTAACTGTAATGAAAAATATATATACTAATAAACCTATACAGTTTGATGATGTAGTAATTCATGGTGTACAGTAAAAGTGCATTTTTTAATGTGTATTATTATGCCAGAGGAAAAGAGTCTGATCATCTAATGTGTGTTATTATACTAGCTTTATGGCCCACAGAAGCCCATTTTTCCCCTTGTCTTTTTCTTTTTCCTTCAGTTCCTCTGATCTTATTCTTATGTTTTTAATCATTGACATGATTGAATGTTTTAAAGTTTCATTACTACTTGGTCAGTCAATAAATTCTTGGTGCTTGGAAATCATAGACCAAAAAAAACACTTATATTTTTCAAAGAATTACTTTTTGACAACAAAATTTAATAAAGAAATTTGTAAAAAGAAAACTTACTATTTGTAGAATCAAGAGTGAGAGTGAGGGTTCAAATTTCAGAATAGATAAATGTGCTTGAATACCAAGAAAAGAAAAAAAAAATACTAACTTTATTAGAGTTGCAGGGCAAGACTAATATTGTGAAGGGCAATGTTATTTAAAAATGCCGATTCCATTTTTCCCCTTCTCTGGGTTTGTTTATCCTATTTTTACACCGGTGGTGGGTGGGTATGCCAAAGACAAGGATAGTCTTTAGATCCTTCTAGACTAATATTGTCTTTGTTTGCTATACTGGATCATCTCAAACGATTAGCTATTTCTGAGACTATAATTTTTGGGCTGTAAGTTGTTTTGCGTTGTGGGCTGTCCATGCTTTATGGGCCAGTCATTCGCATTACTCTACCTATTTATTTGGCTTATTTATAATATCATCTTACTTTCCCAAAAAAAAAAAAATTGTTATTTAAAATTCAAACCCAGTCTAGCGTAGGCACAAGCTGACTCGGACTCGGTAATTTACCCATTAACCCATAGAAATTGGTTTTACCCATATTATTTAACCCTTTTCGCTGTCATCGCCATCAATATAATAATATTGCTTGCACTTTTGGCAGTCGATTGCACATCCTTTCTCTTTGCGTCTCGGATTTCTTCAATCTTTTCTCTCTCTAGCAAACCTCATGGCTTCTGGTGATTCTCTCTCTATATATATATGTCTTTTGATCGCAGTGTGCTGTGGTTTTTTTCTACTTTCTCCATATTTATCTATTGAAAATCTCCGTATTTGGCCTGCGATGTTTGTTTTTATGCAGATGCAGATATGGAGGATTATGGGTTCGAATATTCAGACGAAGAGCCTGAGGAACAGGACGTTGACATTGAGAATCAATATTACAATTCAAAAGGTAAACGAATAAGATATTTTGGAATTCACATGCTGTTTGGTAATACCCTATTTGAGCTAATCTACAATGTTTATTTTTTTGAATCTTTTATTTGTTGTTTTTTTATTTTTTATTTTTATCTGAGGTCTATAACAGTCACTTATGAGCTAAAGTGAATTAATCGATTTTGTCAGTGTTATCTTTTTTTCTTTTTCTTTTTTCCTAAATGATTTTGTCAGTGTTATCTACCATAGCCATGTAGTAATAGTTGTTTTTTTTGGATCTTTTATTCATTGTCTTTGCTCTTTACTTGATGGTTTAATTTTTTTTATTAGATATTTGGGCACTACCTAGGTATTAACTGTTTGCTCAACAACTGGCCATTTCATGGCTGTTGGGTTCTTCCCTGGGTTTGGGATAATGGATGATAAGTCGCAAAAAAAACCACCACATTGTGCAACCACATTGATTTTATATTGGGAAATGTAGTCTCGGTCGTGTATATTGCTTTAATGGATTACCTGGCCTTCTAGTGTGCTGCCAATTTGTCACCCATCTTCTCTTTCCTCTTTTTGCTTCTCCTATTTCACTCGAGATGGATTTCTAATGCCAGTGACGCGATTAGTGGATGCATGTGTGTGAAAAGCAATAGTTGGCAACATGAGATGGACTAAGTAGTTTGGCTCTGTTATTTGTGGGGGCCGAAGAAAAAAAAAAAAAAAAAAAAAAAAAAAAAGGAATAGTTAGGATTCGTATGGTTTAATAGGAAGGGGCAACAATGGTTTGAGGAAGGCCAGGAAGGTTGTGATGTGGGCCTTCCACTAGCAAGAAGGATCAATGAGCCATAAATAACTATGTAGGGAAGGTGGCATTCCATATGAAAAAGAGAGAAGGAAATTCTTTGGATCACCATTATGCTCAGGAGATAGTGGATTTTGTGGATTTGTTGAGTGGTTAGGGTCCCTATTTGGTCCTTGTGTACTCTTTTGGGATGTGCGCCTTTTATGATACTTATAAAAAAAGTGTATTTTGGTTATGCAATGGAAGTACGAAAACTAGTTTGTCTTTAGAAAAAGAGGAAAAAACAATGAATTCTATACCTTCATTAATGAAGATGAACGTCCAAGATATTCAAATTTAAGTTTCCCATCTTCTATTGCCCATTTTGTATGAAATTGCATCAACACCAGAACAACAAGAAAGGGAAGTACAAACTATGAACCTACTCCACTTTAAAGACTTGGACACGTTTGTACTAATGGTGGTTTGAACAAACCAGCGAGCTATTACATAGCAGGAAAAAAAATTTGCAAGTGTAATTAATCTTTTTAACTTTAAATTAAGGAACACGTGCGGATTATAAATGCATATAAGGTATATGATATAAAAAGATTCTTGGATTCATAGAATGATTTTTTTTTTTTTTTTTTTTACAAGTAAAAATTCATTAAAGAGAGCTTATTAGAGGAGCACTCCCATATATATATAAAAAAATAAAAAAATAAAAATAAAAAACTAAGATCTCAAGCTATCCATAAAATTTGCAAAAGTCCTGCCTAGATTTACAATGTCACCCTTGAACCCCAAAAAAATGAGAATTCCAGATGGAGCGTTTTAACAATCAAATAGGAGCTTCCTCCGTACCAAAGGATCTCATATTCCTCTCCCTCCACAAACCCCACCATAAGCAGAGGTGGGGTTCTCCAACCATCTCGGACTTGACTGTCCATACAACCTCTGCAAGCCTTGCTCCTTATAGAATCCAGCAAAATCCAATGGACATCAAACATAGGGAGAAAAAAAAAAAACATGGTCGAAACTTTTATAGTCGCAAGACAATGCAAAAGGAGATGTTCACTTACTCCTCATCTCTCTTGTACATAGAACACCAGTTCATACCAGCCGGCTCTTCTTCAAGTTGTCAATTGTCGAAATCCTCCCCAAAGCTGCTGTTCATGACATTGATATAAGAATAATTAATCTTGTGTACTTTAAATTGGCCAGTTCTACATATTTTCCTGTTGTGGGCTGCATTGCTACCACTTGATACATATTGGTAATGTGTACTAAATTTCATGTTAATGTATAAATTTGACAAAGCATCCCCCCCCCCCCCCCCCCAACCCCTTCTCTCTATTGGCATTTTTTAGGTGTCATTGCTCTATATCTCACACTTTCATGGAAGGATTATCACTTTTTCATTCTGTGTGTTGTGTTTGTTTAACCTCGTTTTATATCATTTAAGGCTCTTTGGTTTCAGATTATGTTTTAGCTTTGTTGGTTTTTGGTAGTAGTCGGCTGTTGAAGCCAAGAAGTCCACTTACAACATTGAGACTAGAATACTCCAATCACCGTCAGAAACTAGATTTCTAAAGGGAAACATGGGAAAAGCCAGAGCAGTAGTTATCAGAAATGATAATATAATGTATCACAGAGAAAGAGAGTTGTCCATTTTGTACTACAACTATTAACGCAGTTGACTCTCTCTAAACAGACAGTGACAGACTTTTAAGCTTCCCATACAGCATTTATAACAACCGGCTATAACTACGACTTCTATAGACTTTGACAAGAACTTTCCAAAGCACCATTTATTGCATTAAGGATGCGATGAGGTGGATGCTTTGGTGGGAATTCGAGGCAAAATTTCTCTAGGCGCTTTGAGAGGAAGCCTGTTTAAATTCCCTAGGAAGGCGGTCTCGAGCACCAAAACTCATTCTAAAGTTGCATGTTTTGGTAGGAATGATGGCAGTCCTAGAAATGATTTTGACTATGAACAAACTTAGGAAGAGGCTTCAACTTTTGTATAATTGGTTTTACCCCCTGTTAAGTTATAATGAACATTTACTTATCAAAAGGGGGAATAAAAAGAAAAGAAAAAGAAAGTAGGAAGAAAGAGGAAGGTAGAAGCAAATGGCAGTATCAAACTAGGGTTTTCAAGATTAACTCCTAGGTTCTGCAAGCATCACATTGAAATCAGAGGACTGCAAAATTTGTAAACTTTTCATCGCTACGCAATGAAGCTGTAGCTATTTATAAGATAGTCTTTGATCCTACTAGGGCCATGAAAAAAATGACTCATACATGCCAGTAAGAATAATTAATCTTGTGTACTTTAAATTGGCCAGTTCTACATATTTTCCTGTTGTGGGCTGCATTGCTACCACTTGATACATATTGGTAATGTGTACTAAATTTCATGTTAATGTATAAATTTGACAAAGCATCCGCCCCCCCCCCCCCCCCCCCCCCCCCCCCCCCCCCTTCTCTCTATTGGCATTTTTTAGGTGTCATTGCTCTATATCTCACACTTTCATGGAAGGATTATCACTTTTTCATTCTGTGTGTTGTGTTTGTTTAACCTCGTTTTATATCATTTAAGGCTCTTTGGTTTCAGATTATGTTTTAGCTTTGTTGGTTTTTGGTAGTAGTCGGCTGTTGAAGCCAAGAAGTCCACTTACAACATTGAGACTAGAATACTCCAATCACCGTCAGAAACTAGATTTCTAAAGGGAAACATGGGAAAAGCCAGAGCAGTAGTTATCAGAAATGATAATATAATGTATCACAGAGAAAGAGAGTTGTCCATTTTGTATTACAACTATTAACGACAGTTGACTCTCTCTAAACAGACAGTTACAGACTTTTAAGCTTCCCATACAGCATTTATAACAACCGGCTATAACTACTACTTTTATAGACTTTGACAAGAACTTTCCAAAGCACCATTGATTGCATTAAGGATGCGATGAGGTGGATGCGTTGGTGGGAATTCGAGGCAAAATCTCTCTAGGCACTTTGAGAGGAAGCCTGTTTGATTCCCTAGGAAGGCGGTCTCGAGCACCAAAACTCATTCTAAAGTTGGATGTTTTGGTAGGAATGATGGCAGTCCTAGGAACGATTTTGGCTATGAACAAACTTAGGAAGAGGCATCAACTTTTGTATAATTGATTTTACCCCCTGTTAAGTTATAATGAACATTTACTTATCAAAAGGGGGAATAACAAGAAAAGAAAAAGGAAGTAGGAAGAAAGAGGAAGGTAGAAGCAAATGGCAGTATCAAACTAGGGTTTTCAAGGTTCACTCCTAGGTTCTGCAAGTGTCACATTGAAATCAGAGTACTGCAAAATTTGTAAACTTTTCATCGCTACGCAAGGAAGCTGTAGCTATTTATAAGATAGGCTTTGATCCTACTAGGGCCATGAAAAAAAATGACTCATACATGCCAGTTTTTATGTAACGCATTAAACCAACCCAATTATAATATACGACCTGAAATTAATTAGAGTTGAAACAACTATTATAAGATTAATCAAAGAAAGTTCACATTCCCAGAATGGTGTAACAATATCTGAACAATGGTGGCATTCTATGTTCACTGTTATTCTTCTGGTTGAAGAAATTTTAATACTTTGAGGTATCTAATGTGGAATTTCAAGGGAGTTATCTGGTATTTTGCTCTTCATTGGCAACAATAATTGCAATTCTATGTTCATTGTTATGCTTCTGGTTTGAAGAAATTTTAATACTTTGTGGTATCTAATATGTGGGACTTCAAGGGAGTTGTCTGGTCTTTTGCTCTTCGTTGGCAATTTGACTCATCCTCCTAGAGATACTACATCTCCAGGGCCTGTTTCTAGATGATCTGACTGATATCACATTTTGAATTTGTTAGCGTATGTCTCCTTGTCAAGGTAGTTTATTCTTGATCTTAATTAGTAGAATGACTAGAACACAGTGCCACAATTTGTTTCCTTTCCATGTATGATATCTATTAAGGTCATTGTCTTTGCATCAAGTAATTTTAACATTGGTACTTGTTTTTTTTCCCATGACAGTCTTTATGACAATGTCCGTGCTTTATTTTCTTAGCTGCCAGCTAATAGAATTCTTTTGGGTAATAATTGTTGACATGGTATCGAAAGGTATCACTTCTAGATATGTAAAATACTCTGATGCATACAAAAGGAACACGTGGCATATTTGGAAAAACATATGAAGCATTTGGCAGAATGAACGCGAGATTAGGGGCTGTAAGATGAGCTAATAAAGAATAATCTAGATAAAATATACTCAGAAGCTTACTAAAGATCCCATCTTTGTGGTCTTTCACAGCTAATACTGTGTGGATACTGAATTCCCATTTTTTTTTTTTTTTTGCCTATAGGTTGCTATATTATCATGTGTGTGTAAGAGGGAGAGAGAGAGAGAGAGAGTTACTAATGTCACACTTGGGTTCATGTTTCTTCTTATAACTTAATTATGTGTATGTATGTTCCTACATAGGTCTGGTCGAAACTGACCCAGAAGGGGCGCTTGCGGGCTTCGCTGAAGTAGTTCGAATGGAACCTGAGAAGGCTGAGTGGTGAGTAGCTTAGAGTTTTCACATTTGCTGCTGAGTGGGACTATTACCTCTTCCCCCTTCTCAAAGTAGTGGCATATTCTTATATATACTGATTCTTAACATGAGCATAAGGCGGTTTACATGTTATCTCCTTAAATTATGAGTTTCTGGCATTTTCTACAATGCTGTAATTTTCCTTATAAAACTGACAGAACAATTCTTATTCTTAGCACCATGATTATTATTGTTGTTTTCATTGTTTATTTGGAATATAAAGGACATAGATATGATCATGCTTACAAGATTTATTATAAAAAATGGGGGAAAGGGACTCTGTTACTTACATTTCCTAATAATTGAATCACATTGCTGCAATATGTTACTCCTGCTGCTTGTTCTTCTTCCACTATTCTGATTTTATTAAGACCTGTACTGTCCATCTCATTGAATGGAATGAGACTGAACTTCTGTAAAAACTTCAGACTTAACATTCTTTTCTTTGATAAGTCAAAACTGTTGAATGAACATTTATTTCTTTGATAATTAATAGCTGTGTGTTGTTGCTCCATCTAAATCCCATTTTATCTTGTGCATTAAAGATGGCTTTTATAAGGAATAGGAACGCTGAAATCTATCTTCTTATTTTGGGTAAAACATTTGCAGTTAATGTTATTTTTTGTTTTAACTCATTGTATAATCATTGTTATGTTTCTATTTTTTTAGTCGGTTGTTTTTCTACATGTAAAAACATATATATATTTAATACAATAAATTCATAATCACACTCAGATATTTGTCTTTCTTTTGGTCATCCTATATTTCTTATTGTTATCTTCTATATTTTAATTTTTAACATTTCAAAACTTCTCTTGAGATCGGAAGCGGGCCCATTGGTTGGTAACATTTGAAAAGGAGTGTTCTATTTCTCTCTCTCAGTTATTTGTTTTGTGGCCTTTGGACTAAATTTTTCTATACCTTTGCTCTGATTTAAGGATGGATTAGAAATTAATTGGAAGTTTGAGTTCATACATTACCCTTCACTAATATGATGTCATATCCAATATTGCGAGTATATGTGCATGAGATTAATTATGTGTCACAGCAGGCCTCTTAAATTTGCACTTTTTTTTACTTGATTTCATCTCATGACGATTTTTTTTAATACTGAAAAATAATCTTTTTCCCATGTCTTCAGGGGATTCAAAGCTTTAAAGCAGACTGTAAAGCTCTATTACAGATTAGGGAAGTATAAAGAAATGATGGATGCCTATAGGGTTATGCTAACGTATATCAAATCAGCAGTAACACGAAACTACAGCGAAAAATGTATTAACAATATTATGGATTTTGTATCTGGATCAGCCAGTCAGAACTTTATCCTCCTGCAGGAATTCTATCAAACCACCCTGAAGGCCCTTGAAGAGGCCAAGAATGAGGTCAATATTTAATCTTATTTTTCAATCAGGAGCCTTTTATGTCTAAGATGTCATGTATTGCCCTCTTCTTGTGTAGAGGCTTTGGTTTAAGACAAATTTAAAGCTTTGCAAGATTTGGTTTGATATGGGCGAATATGGGCGGATGAGTAAGGTATGTTGCTTGTTCTGGTAGTTACTTTTAGCTGTCTTACTATTGTGTAATGTGTTGTATAAAAACAAATTTTATTCGTTGCACATTACTAGATTTTGAAGGAACTCCGCAAATCTTGTCAAAAAGAAGATGGTACAGATGATCAAAAGAAAGGAACACAATTGTTGGAGGTGTATGCGATTGAGATTCAAATGTACACTGAGACAAAGAATAACAAAAAGCTCAAGGTAAGATATCCTTTAGTTTTTGCTGTCTTACCTTTTGTATGCTGAGATAACAGATTATGTGTGTCAGCATGCCTGCTAAGGATATATGGCCATAGTGTACTTTTGTTTGTGAGCTGGGAGTTTTACATAACGCTTAGCTAGAATCTCTCTTTACTAATAATAAAGCTGTTACTCTTGCTTATGATATAATATGTGTGTGTGTATTTTGTACTTATGTCCTGTCTTGTACCTTTTTCGTATCAAGAAATCATGTCATTTCTTTTTGATAGGTAAATCACAAGTTATGCGAGAGAGAGGTCAAAATTTTCAACTAGTTAGGATCAAAAGCATGTAATTGAAGTGTATGTAGAATCTTTGATATTTGAGGAAAGCCTAGAAGTAATGTGTAATATGTTAAGATGAGTTATGAGAGAGAAAAAAATTCAACTAGTTAGGATCAAAAGCGTGTAATTGAAGTGTGCGTAGAATCTTTGATATTTGAGGAAAGCCGAGAAGTAATATGTAATATGTTTATTGTAACTAATAAATAGTCCCAGACTCCCAGTTGTTGGTTTCAAGAATATTTTGGTTTCTTCTTCGTATTAGAAAGAAGTTTTTGGCATGGATTTATGGAATCTTCTACGACGTCTAGAGATTGGAAATATTCATGCTTGCATATATAATAATTATGTGATACAACCAGATATATTTATTAAAATTTAACACAACTAGAATTGAAATCAAGTCCTACGTCACCCCTCTGTTTATGTTACAGCAGCAGCAGCAACGACAACAACAAACAAAGCCTTTTCCCAACTACTCAAATTACAATATATATATTGTCAAATAAGATATTAATTTTGTTTTGGTTTTGAATAAGAAAGATTTCACTATATTTGATAATTTAAATTTGTGTGAAAAATGTGTGCAATTCTCTGTTAAAAATTGAGTAGTCATTCCTTCAACTGCGTAATGCAAACGAGTGTAAAAGAAGAAGAAGAAAAGAAACATGAGGAGGTGGCTTCCTCCACTTCAATAATCTATAACCTTCTGTGTCTATTTATAAGTGTGTGAACACAAATCTGATGTTATCCATGAGAAGTTTAAGAAATAGCAAGTTTGAAAAGAAGAAGTTTGGAAATCAGACCGTTATCAAGGTGGGTTCCACCTTGAACCTCTTGTAGTAAAATTTTTCTGATCTAGTCCTAGTTTTTAGTCTCCTTTGTTGCTGATTCTGTTTCTTTCACTTTTTATTAAATTAATCAGTAAAGGATATTTTTGTAAATTTAGGTTTTGTATTGTTGGTCAAGTTGTGATATTGTGTCTGTCAAAGAACTTGAGTAGGTTTCTATAAATTCAAAGTCTCTAGTTTATAAATATGGAATCCAAGACAAATTAGAATCTGAATTACCTAAAATTCTATGTAATCCTTTTGAGTTCAATAGAGAACAAATTTTAGAGAAACTTCCAAGACTTATGCTCTTTGATGATTTTTTGAAGTTATATAGGGGCGCAAGTTGGGTGGGATAAGCGAGTTGAAGGGTCAAAACTGAGCCCAACCCAATGTATTAAACTCTCAACCAAAACAGTGGAGTTACGTGCTTACGTAATTGACTTTTATCATCTTGATAATAGTGGAGTTATGTGGGATGTGCGTTTTAGGCGTTCTTTTCAGGATTGGGAGATTGCAGAAGTTTGCGTCTTTTTCGACCTGTTGTATAGACAGAAGGATGTTGGCAGAGGTTGTGATGACATTTTGTGGACCCCCTCTCTTCATGGTAGATACAAAATTCGTTCCATGTTCTTGTGTTTGTCTAATTTTATTGGACATAATTTTCCATGGAAGTGTATTTGGCGTTCTAAAGCTCCTTTTAGAGTCGCCTTCTTTGTTTAGACTGCTACCTAAGGAAAAATTATAACATTGGATAATCTGCGTAAGAGAAGTAATACCATTGTTAACTGGTGCTGTCTCTGTAAAACTGATGGTGAGTCCGTGGACCATATTCTTGTGCATTGTCCTGTCGTGTCTGATGGTTGGAATCTCATATTCAGTATTTTTGGCGTTCAATGGGTAATGCCTAAGCACTCTTTTCAATTAATTAATGCTTGGAGAAGATGCCCTGTTACTGATCATGCTCGTGATTTTTGGAGGGTCACCCCACACTGTGTTTGGTGGTGTATTTGGAGAGAGAAATAACAGAAATTTTGAAGGAAAGGAATCGTCTTTTGCAAACCTAAAGTCTCGTATTCTTCGCTCTCTTTTCTGTTATGATAGAGGCAGCGCTTGCTCCTCGATTGATGATTTTTTTGTTCTCTTGGACTCTTTTGGTCCGTAGGTTTGGCTTTTGCTCTTTTGTTTTTGTGTATTAGGGACGCGTTCCCCTTTTGAACGTTTTTCTAATATATTTTTTACTTATCAAAAAAAAATAAAACTCTTAACCAAAACACAACACACAGAATGAATTGGGTTATGCTAGTAATACATCTAGGAAATTAAATGTACCTGGGATGTTTGGGCTATGTTCTTTGCCTTGTTTAGTATGCATTGGGTTATGCAGTGGTCAGCAATGGAGGCTCGAGTCTTGGAGGGGATGTATAGTGGGGAGACATGCTTGTGGTACTTGGAGGGCAGGTCCTTTATGTAAATGATGGGCTTGTGGTGTAAGAGAAACAACTGGTCCTTTGATGGTGTAGAAGATGTGACATGGTTGTGAAACACCATATTTGGCTTGTGATATAGTTGATTTTTTTGGATAGTATGAGGCTATAGGGCTGTATTCTTTTGTATAGTTGTTTGGGATGCTTCCCTTTTGGGAGCCTTTTAATAAAAGTTACTTGTCAAAAAGAATTTAATTTCCTGCACTAACCATTGACATGCGCATATCTAGATTTGCTTAATCCCCTACCCTCACCCATACTTGTAAAATTCATTTTTCACAAGTCCCAACCCTTCGTCCTGCAATAACTCATCCATAGAACACAAAAGTTACTGTTGTGGGTACTCTTCACAACTGTATGAAGTACCTCAAATCTTGGTCTTCCCTCGCTTGATTATAATTCAAAACCCTAATTATTTGATACACTCTTGCAAACCTATGAGACTTTATTGTTTACCAAGCTCTTAGCTGCAAAAAGCTACCTGGTAATGGACCTGAAGCCATATTCACTGCTTTCCTACTTTAATTTTGGTACTGAAGCTGGCAGGAGTGTTATTTCCATTTGTCCTACACATGCTGACATGAGGAAAAGCCCTAGGCACCTCGCTTCATGCTGTGTAGTTGATCAGTGAGGCGGCAGCAAATCGCATTGATATGATTCAGTTTGGAAGCTTGAGGGGGGTTAAGAAGTGGGAAATTTGGGAACTTATACGATGTAGTTCTACCAACTTCCACTCATTTTATCCTGCCGTTTAATGTTAAACCCTCTCTCGAAGGTGTTGAATTTAGCATCTTCTCCTTGCAGCTAGTATTGAAATGCGTTGGATCTAACTTAGTCAGGTTAATGATCGATGGAGTTTCTTATTTAACGAGCTCGATCAATCAGTTGGGTTATGTAGAACATTGTGCATAAAAATGACTGACACAACAGCATATCAAAATTAGGTGGCCAGAGGACCACGATGCAATTGAACCAGAATTGTGCAGAAATTTCTCAAGCGTGTATTGGGTTTGACAACAAAGCACTGATCTGGGTTTTACTCTAATTATCAGGCTTCTATGCAATATAGGATTGTAGCAAAGAATAATAGATTCACCGTGTCAATATCATATAGCCCAATCAATGGAAGAGTTTGCAGATTGCTATCTATGGTTTATTGCATGTGGGGCTTACTCATGTCGTTTGACTTTAGAGAAGAACATGGATACTTCGGAAGCCAAAAGATGAAGGAATAAAGAATAAAGTGATTTTCTTTCTCCTTGTTATTTGATTTGAAGATTTGATCATTGGATTACAGATAAAAGGTTATGCATAGTGGGAGAAAAGAGAGGGAGGTTGGTACTCCGGGTGTGCATGGGCGGGTGTGAGACACTAGCAAGCTACGGATGCACAATTCCACATCGCTTATATGTGCTAGTGATATCTCTAAATGGTATGAAGCCTTTTGGGGTAAAACTCAAGAACAAAACTGAGCGGGCTCGGGCCCAAAGCGGACAATATCATACCATGTGGTGGAGTAGATCGCTACAAATAGTATTGGAGCCCAGCCAGAAGTGTGGCCAACAAGGACGTTGGGCCTCCGCGGGGGGGGGGGGGGGGGGGGGGAGGCGATTGCGGCCCCGACTTGTGGGCGGCACCAGCAGGCTACTATGTTGGCAGGCTACGAGTGCACAATCCCACATCTCTCTTATGTGCTAATGCTATCTGAGAATGGTACGAGGCTTTTTGGGATAAAACCCAAGAACAAAACCGTGCAGGCTCGGGCCTAAAGCGGACAATGTCATACCATGTGGTGGAGTGGGTCATTACAAAGAAGTTGTGTCTTCGTTTAGAAAAGAACTTTAATTTTTTGTGGTTTCACTCTGATGAAAATTCTGGATGGAGCTCTAAGGAAGAAGGTTTTTTCAGAAATATGAATATGAAATGAACTTTAAAAGAGATGGAGAATGATGTATAAGCACCTTTGGTGGTGATATTGCATTATACTATTGTCGAAAGCAAACTCTTTTTTGTTGTAGCACACAAGGTATGTGTTGCAATAAATAGCCGCAAACCAAGAAACAATCACAAAACACGAAAAAAAAACAAGCACCACACAAGACACAGATTTACGTGGTTCGACACAAGTTGTGCCTACGTCCACGGTGAAGATCCGGCAAAAGATTTTACTACGCAAAAATCAAAAGATTACAAGTTTCAGCCCCAAACCCTTGCTCTCACTCTCTCTCACTCTTTTACCTGCAATTTTCAGTTCTCCCTGATCTCACTCCAAATTCTAAGCGCCCTTATATATCAGGCTACAAGAGAGTACTAAACAGGGTCCATGACCCACAAGGAAAAAAAGGGGCAAAAAAATTCAGGTCAACTTGCGAGCTGGTCCGAAACAAAATTCGGGCCACAACGTCAAAGTATGCTACAAGTACTCTCTTCTTCCTTTCAACATATTACTGTTGGTTACGGCATAGGTAAGAATATGAGATGTGTCGAACAACAGACCTAAATCGAACACTTTTTCCCTTTATGCAATGAAGATGAGGAGAATGCTCAAATTTTTACCTACCTAGATAGTTGGAAACAACCTTTCCACCACATCCCATTTAATTAAATTCTAGTTCTTGCGTAGGTGTCTCCTTAAGAACAATAATATAATAGATTACACTATTATATTAATATAACATATATTCTATAATTTCTATGTAATTGCAGAGGACGTGGTTCCTTACTTTTGGCACATTTCAAGTCAAGCTCCCAAGTCTATTTGGGAATCAGGGAGGGTCCGATGCATAGACACACTCTTGGCAAACTACATGTAACGTGATTCTGTCCCTTTTTTCTATAGCGAAGACAAAATAAATTAACAACAATTTCATGTTCTTACCGTTGTATGGAAATGCCCAAATTTTTCAGTCTAGAAAAAAGCCCAACTCCAGTGCCCATCCAATGTTACATGGACTTTTCAAAAGTAGTGAAGTACCCATGTCGGACACCTATTGCTCGGACATGGGTATGGGATACGTGTCCGACACTTTTGGTTGGACATGTAGTTGAAAAGCATGTCCAATTATTCAATTATATTATATTATTACTTTTAAAATTTGTTAAATTCCTATGTTGAACATTTTATTAGATATTACTTTACTCTAAAAAAATAAAATAAAATAAAATAATTAATAAAATGAATATTTAGCCGTTTGGAGATTTGAAACGTCCGACACATGGTTACATACCCGTGTCCGACGCACGTACCTGAGTCCATGTAGCATGATGATCTTTGGTCATAAATCATAATGAATCCACATTACTTTAACAACATGCTAATTTTTCAATAAATATGGAACTGAAGACCTAGTGAGATCTCAAGTATCTGCGATCTAAGTTACACAGATCTGGAATCAAATAACGAAGGGTAAAGAAAAAAGGGAACACATCTCGATGTGATAGAATGAAGAAGATTCACGCTCGATAAGATGTTTGGTGCCTATTACATGCAAGTATCAATGAATCTTTATACAGATGAGTGATTCACAATTACAGATGTCTGTTCTGTATTGATGCTATTATTCTTATTGCACATGGTCTCTGGCAAAGGGGAGGCGGTGCAGGGGCTTGTGTCAGAGTGGAGGCAAGGTGGGCCTGAGGGGTTGGTCAGAGTGCATTTTGTTATTCTTCAATGGAGAAATTTCAGAAGAGAGAAAAGACATTGGCTTTCAGCAGTCAATTGGATGGAACGATTGCCTTCTTAGGGATGAATTAAGTAATTCATTCCCTTCATGAGAAGTCATTTCCAAAATCTGTTTTCTTGAGCTTTGATTGGAATTTTACACTTGAAAAAGCCTTGCCAAAGGCTCCTCACAACACTTCCTCAATCTTCACATCCGCCAATAAACTCAAGGTTGTGAGAGTCTCTAATGATCCTGTGTCACGTTGCATGACACCTGGATTATTCTGAATGTGCCACGTTGCATGCCACCTTGGAACCACCTGGCAACGTGAGCTATGCCACCTCAGGGACACCTAGTGTGGGAGTTGGGTCCACATTGAGAAGAAAGAGACAACTTCATCACTCCATATCTTACTTTCTCATAGCATTTGAAGATAGAGACTTTCTCATCGGACTCCATGTATGGCTGCAATATCCATTGCAAAGCAGCTCTCTACTTGATTTTTCTGAATTTGGACTGATTGTATACCTTTATTTTAATGAAATTAGGTTCAAATTGTGGGTTATATTGATTAATTTTGGTTGTTAAACCTCTGCATTCACATCTTAAGGCGAGCATAAATTTGGCAAGTGCTTCCATAAGGGTTAAAGATGATTTATGACACAATATATGAATTCTGGAAGAGGAAAAGTAATTAGAGAGCATTTTTTTTGAGGCGTTATTATTATTATGACTATTATCATTGTTATCTATTTGCCTTTTACATGTTAGGTCTTGATATCCTGTAATATTGTCCATCAAATTGGTTACATTCCACTTTCATATTTTAATCTTCTATTTGGGAGATGTGATGCTACCCTTTCAGGATGATTTTGTCGAAGGCTTCTTGATTTCTGGAATGATTTCAGTAATATGATTTTTGGTATGGCCTACAATTTGCCTCTTACACTGAGATTCATTTAAATATGGACTTGTTGCAGCAATTGTACCAAAAAGCACTATCAATCAAGTCAGCGATACCTCATCCAAGAATTATGGGAATCATTCGTGAGTGTGGTGGGAAAATGCACATGGCCGAGCGCCAGTGGGCAGAGGCAGCTACAGATTTCTTTGAAGCTTTTAAGAACTATGATGAAGCTGGTAACCATAGGCGCATCCAGTGCCTAAAGTATGTTTTCTTTACTTCCTTGTTCACTCTCTCTTTTTTTTTTCTTTTTCTTTTTTTCTGTCTTAGTTGGTACTCACACACACTTGCCTCTACTGAGGCTTGAACCCGTGACCTCCATTTGGGAAGTAAGGGCCTAATACCACTAGGGCACTGTCACTCTCTCTCTCTCTCTCTCTCTCTCTCTCTCTCTCTCTCTCTCTCTATATATATATATATATATATATATATATCCATGCACATGTATGTGTGAGTTCTATCCTTGGGAGGCTGATGTGAGTAATCTAAATTTCTGAATATGAAGGTTGATGTGGTATGTACTTGAATGAACTTGGTTGTCTCCTCAAAGCCCCACTTGGACAAAAAGTGTACGTGAGTTGCTTACCCATAAAAAAATAAATAAAATAAAAATAGATAAATGGTTGTCAGGTGTCTAATTATCAGTCGTCTAAGCTGAATCTCAGGCCAAAGCACCGTTGTTTACACTATCGAAGCGCCCAACTCTTTTGTGCCTTAAAATAAATCCAGGTCTTTGCATGACAGCTTGTTAGATCTGTTGATTTTCAAATATTATTTTGACGCCTTCTGCTCCCCTCCCCCTTCCTTTTTCCTTTTTCCAATCTTTCATTATCCTTGAAATTTCTTCCCATTTTTCTCTATTTTATGGTGTCATCCTTTGCATACTAATGTATTGTCATGTGTCATTCCATGTGCAGCATGGAGTCAGGTGTTTAACCCTTTGTTTGGCCAATCCAGACCAATTATTTTGCACATTACTACCAACACTCTGCTTGTCTTATGGTTAAAGAGAGACTAGGATGTCTTCACATCTATAGAAGTTGAACATATCTATTAGGTTTTACATAGTGTTTTTTAAGGTAAAAATCTGTCGTCTAAAATGGCTCCTAAATAGAGAAGGTTAGTGTCAGTTGACAGTACAAGATTTTGAGATTCATCTCTCAGATTTGGATAGAGGTAGACTGGCAGACTAACATTTAGTCCGTCCATACAGAGAATTCTCATTCCTGTATTTCTCTATTAAAGTCCATGTAAATACCTGTATTTGCCTACTTTTAACATATCTGCGTCTTCATTTGTCCCTTTCACTTGACCCTTTTTTTTTCTTTTTCCATTGGTCCATCTTCATTTGTAAATATCTAACTTGACAGATACTTGGTTCTGGCTAATATGCTGATGGAATCTGAAGTGAACCCATTTGACGGCCAGGAGGCAAAGCCGTAAGTTATTTGAGAGGTTTATTGTCAAAATTTTATTTATTCTGCTGTTATCTTTATATCTATATATGTATGTATTATCTTCCAAATTGCTCATTTGTAGATATAAAAATGACCCTGAGGTTCTGGCAATGACAAATCTGATAGCAGCTTATCAACGGAATGAGATTTTGGAGTTTGAGAAAATCCTTAAGGTATGGTTATAGTACTTGGATTTAATATTGTCTACCTGTTTGACTGTTTTTTCATTCCTACCCTCTCCCTTCCTTTTCTGATTTCAAATCGTCGGGAATTTCTTCAGAGTAATAGGAAGACAATAATGGACGATCCATTTATTCGAAATTACATTGAAGATCTTTTGAAGAATGTCAGAACACAAGTGTTGCTCAAGCTAATCAAGCCCTATACAAGAATTCGGATCCCATTCATATCAAAGGTGATGACCATAGAGATCAGTTCTGTTCATTTTTATGTTTATATCTAGGAAACAGGGGTCATCATTTTTTTTCAGAAAATGAAGGTCCAGAGTTTTTTAACCTGCCCCAGAACTTTCTCAATAATATATATTCTTCTCTAAAAATGTATTTCATTTTTCTTAACAGTGGATGGTTATAATAGAATAATAGTTCCTAAATCAATTTATTGAACTATATTAAGTTTCACAACAATATTTTTTGTTTCCACGTCCAGGAGCTTAATGTCCCAGAAAAAGACGTCGAGGAGTTATTGGTTTCACTGATCCTGGATAATCGTATAAATGGGCATATTGACCAAGTGAACCGGCTGTTAGAGCGCGGTGACAGGTGAGACTTACAATTGTCTATATGTCTTTTTGCATTCCGATTAATTCATTTGTTGCCGCCTATCAATTTCTCATTTGTTATTATATTTTTCCATTGGAAAATATGTGATGCAGGTCAAAGGGAATGAAGAAGTACACCGCTATAGAGAAATGGAACACACAGCTTCGGTCCATCTATCAAACTGTTGGCAACAGGGTGTGTTGAGGTTGCGATTTCCGATAGAAATGTTTGTCATCTGAGACTGCCCTTTTGGATTTACTATTTTGTCATACTAATTTGAAACTGATCTTGCTGTCTTGTTAGAACTTGTGCTGAGTTGCATACGTTGTGGATATGGCAATATTTTGACTTTATATATCACATACATTAGTTAGTTCAGGAAAACTTAAATTCCAATTGAGGAATGTTTTAGACTGTCGTGCAATTGCAATTGTCCAACCTCATCTGTTCGCACAAACTTTGCTGATGGATTCACCTCGTTTAACAAATGGGGTCAGCCAGTTGTGTAGTTGTATCATTGATGTTTAGGTGTGGAGTTGCGATAAAGAGTCCGGTAGTTGGACACATCTACATATTTATGTGCGTTATCAAATATGATGATATCATGATGATGTCATCTTCCTGTCCGACTCTCACAGTCCGGCTCTCACAGACTATTTATCATTTCTTGGGTGTGACATTTGAGAAAGCTTTTGCCATATTAGCCCCCGTACTTGCTTGAAAGACCTGTTACAAACTTGCAATATGAAACCCAACTGGTCTATGGGTTGACATTGTCAATGATTTTTCATGTGGAGCATGTGCTTAATTTTGAGATTGTAACTACTGTTGGTCCAAGTCTTACAATCCTCCGTCTCACGTTTTGCATGCGAATTGATAAAATATTATTATTGTTATTTTGATTTGTAAAATTAAATGTCATTCCTTGAATTCAGTTTAATAATCTAAGAATTTAAAGTGATTTCACATGTGACATTTATTATATAGATCTAAAAAAAACTTATACAAATATGCAGTTTTGAGAATGAGCTTACAGTATAATATTTCATGTTGCTGTTTGTTTCGATCATTTTATATTTCTGCTGATTACTTGATAAATGTCCTAATTGATGATATTTTCAAGCAACTTCTTAAAATAATATAGTAGTACTACAGCATTAAATGTGTATTTACAAGCAAATCATATTTTAACTTTTTTTTCGTAAAAGATAAATTCTCATGGAGTCCATGAAGGAGCCATAAAAGCCAAACCTGTCAATGCAGGTCATAGGGCACCAAACAGCTTAAAACTGAAATACCCAATTTACATTGAAGCAAGAACTTAATGTCTTCAACAATAACAACTTTATACATGGTCTGGGATTACTTGATTCAGGTCAATCACAACTTGACATAATTTATTTGGGTGTTAAAAAATTGATAAATTATTACATGATTCTGGACAAATTTTCGATTGACAAGTACTGCTATGCTTGGGTTAGGTCAATCACTTTTAATGCTTGGATTGAAGGAGACCTGCATAGACATGTTAGGTCTTGATATCCTGTAATGAGAAGTGGGTTAAGTAGTATTTTATAATTGTGAAACTCTCATTAATAATTAGAAGGTGAAAATTGTTATTTCATTTATGTTCCATCTAATTAAAAGTGTATGATAATAATTTAGTTATCTTTTTTTTTTTTTTGTCATCTATCTTAATCTAAACAAGAATACTATCATTTCCTTTATTTTCTCTCATATCAAATCAAACATGAATAAAAATTATTACTGTCATTCCTTTTCTTTTCTTTTCTCTCCAATGTATCCATAAGAACTATAAGCGTGTAAGATTTATGTCAGTTTTATTCCACTTTTTGGTTACATGTCAATTGATGATTGGCCGGGACCAATAGTCCCAGAACCATATAATAATTTCTCGTAAAAAATTATTTACATGTTGCTTAATTTATTTGCGTGTTGAGTTGAGATTCGCGGGGCATGTATCAATTTCTCCTTCAACAATTGCCAAAGACAAGGGTCAGCTGTCCCACAGAGTGGCAATCACTTTCTAGATGAAATGTAAATAACCCCTGAAGACATTCTCTTACAACTTCAGCTACCTAACCACATGCCCACTCCTTGGAGGAAGACTGTAGCCCTCTTAACAGCTTGTCTAACTTGGTTAGGAAGCACCAAACCATCAACTTAATTGTCAAAGGTAGCATCAGTATTGAGTTTGAGCCTACCTTTTAACATGTGACTTGTAACGGAACACACGTGCAGTCTCCTAGTTATACATGTACCGAATAATTATTAGAAAAATTTTGTGAAAGAAACTTTAAAAAGATTCGAATTCTCGGCATTCAAGATATGAGATGAGAGTCTTTGTCACTAGGTTATCTCTTTGGACTAAACACCAAGAATAACACTTCTTTTAAAACTAAATCCTTAGAGGACTAAGTCTTCAAACCATTCGCAAATGTCGTGTTGTAGTTGGGTTGCTCCCCTGTCCGGAAGCCCGTATCCGAGGGTATAAAAATTAAATCCTTAGAGGACTAAGTCTTCAAACCATTTGCAAATGTCGTGTTGTGGTTGGGTTCCTCCCTTGTCTGGAAGCTCCTGTTCAAGCCTTACACCCTCCTTTTTTAAAAAAAAATGTCTCCTAACCATTCTAGTCCTTTCTGACAAGAAATTCATTTACCAACTTTATTTTTTTGAGAGCTCAAACCCTAGACCTTCTATTTTCTAATGTAAAGAATACTACTTTTACTTTATTTTGTAAAAATGCTTTCTGATTTATGATTTTTTAAAGTAATATTTTTATATTAAAAAATTTAGGCAATATCTTTTAAAGAAATAAAAGAAACACACAGATTTCTTGACTTCTTGACTTGCATTACTTAACAAACAAAAATATATAGACAATCATACCGTGTTAAAAACATTTGTGATCTTGAACATATATTATTTCACCAACTAACATTCCAATTTCATCTGTTTTAGAAAGCCATGTAGTTGTAACATTGATATTTAGGTGTGACATGTAACAGAACACATGCAATCCCCTCGTTACAGATGTATCGAATAATAAATGAGAAAAATTTGTAGAAGAAATCTTAAAAAGATTCGAATTCCAGTTTCAAGATATGAGATGAGAGTCTTTGTCATTAAGTTATCCCTTTGAACTAAATACCAAGAATAACACTTATCTGAAAACTAAATCCTTGAGAGTACAAAGTCTCCAAACCATTCGCAAATGCCTGATGTGGTTGAGTTGCTCCCCTGTCCGGAGATCAGTGTTCGAGCCTTACACCCTCTCTCTAAAAAAAAAATATCTCCAAACCATTCTAGCCCTTCCTGACAAGAAACTCATTCACCCACTTTATTTTTATGACAACTCGAAATCCTAAACCTTATATTTTGAAAAGTGAGAATATTATTGTGTAAAAATGTTTTTTGATTTATGATTAAACTAATATTTTTTATATTAAAAAATTTAAACAATATCTTTTAAAGAAATAAAAGAAACACACAGATTTCTTGACTTGCATTACTTAACAAACGAATATTTATATATAGACAATCATACCATGTTAAAAACATTTGTGCTCATGAATATATATTATTTCACCAACTAACATTCCAATCTCATCTGTTTTAGAACCATTGATATTTAGGTGTGACATTTGTGATCTAAACCCTACTGGCATAGGGTTGACATTAAATCACCACAGGTTGTCCTATGTGCATTGAGAAAATTTTCTCCGAATGACCTTAAAAAAATTCGAATTTCTAATTTTTAAGATGTGAGGTGGGAGTCTTTGTTATTATATTATTTTCTTGGATTCCATACTACCTTATTAAATATTCAATTATTTTGTCCTTTTCAAATTTATCAACTCATGAAAGATGTTAAACTTTAAGATTTGATCAATTATATTATAAATAGTTACTGAAATATAATTTTTTAAAATAACATTTTTGTATTAAAAAAATTAAACAACATCTTTTAAGAAAAAGAAAGAAATAAACAGATTTATTGACTTTGCATTATTTTACAAAAGAAAAATATAGACAATCAAGTCATATTAAAAGACATTTTGTGATCTTTAACGTATATTACTTCACCAAGTAATGACATATATTTATAAATAGATAAATTACATTTACCTTTCCTGTAAATAGGGAAACTTACAAAACCTCTCCTCAATTATGAAAAATTACACTCACCTCCTCTGTAAGCGACACAAGTTTAATGTCGGTGTAATTAAAATTACTCTTCTGTCCTTTATTATTTAAGGACCCCATCTCTCTAGTTCAAACCTAAAACCAATATAGTAGAGAATGTATATCTCATAATTTAAAGATGTATATATACAAAGCATCAACCAAATACCATCCCTCTTGGATCATATATGAGGTTGGCCAATTGAGGTTAGACCGTCGCGCAATTGCAGCCACCCAATTTTGTTTGTTCACACAAATTTTATAAATTTTTTTATCACATTTAATAAATGAGATCGGATATTTAAGTAGTTGTATAGTTAATATTTAGGTGTGACAATTGTGAAAGCTTTTGCTATATGAGACCCCCATGTATCTCTAATTTCTGGTTTGTTTAAACCAAAATTACATGAAAATGATGCGAAACAAGGTCTAGAATTGGTAACGTAAATGTGGCTTGGCTAGATCTGAACCCCACTGGCATAGGGTTGTCTTTGTCATTAATTTTTGTTAGACCATGTGCTTAATTTTGAATTTTTAATTAAGGTTTTGTTTTTCTTTTTTTAAAAAAAAAGTTAAAGCAATTAACTCACACACCTTACTTTCACCGATGTTCGAACCCTGACCTCTCTTTTAGGATAAAAAGAGGTGATACCGTTAGACCATTTAATCATTTGATAATTTTTAATTAAATTGGATTACATACCACAACACAAAGGAGTTTTTCTTTTATGTTTCACATGTAAATTGACACTCTAATAACAAATTTTTTCTTAATTCGTAAATCTAAATCTATCATTCCTCCGATTCAATTTACGAATTCACACTCCTTGAACTACATGTGACCATGTTAAATACACACACACTACATGTGACAATTATAGTATAGAGCAATGAATTGAAATGCACAATAAAAATTGATAACAAAAAAAAAAGGGTACAATTTTAAGAATGGACTTACAATATAGATCTACAAGTTGTTTGCTTGTTTGATATTCATGATTTTTTGTTTTTGTTATTTAACTCGATAAATGTCCTAATTATAGATATCCAAGCAAATTCTTAAAAGAGTATATGGATGCTTATGAGTCATAAGTTATGACCTATTTAGGGTCCGTTCGGTATGTGCTTTATATTAGTGTTTTTGTTTTTGTCTATTACTATAGCAGTGAACAATGAAAAAAATATATTTGGTAAAAAAATATTTTGTTTTGCACAATGGCAAAAATGTTTTGTGAAT